CTTCAGCTGCAACTCAGCTCACAAAGGTTTTTAAGAACCAGTTAATGAAATAAAACAAGACCAGATGAGGTGATATAATGAACTTTATTTCCACAGCTAATTTATGTTTAAATCCCAAATAATTTTTTTTAAAAACTCAGAACACTAAATTATTGATGTGATTTTGGTAACCTCAAATTTAACACTTGCTTTTTATATGTTTCGCTGATGATATATGAGTCTGCCTTATTTTTCACAATAATTGGTCTCCTAAAAGACTGATAAAAACCAAATTTCTGTAAAATGAAAATCCCCCCACCAAATGAAACCGTAATTCTAATTTCAAAGGTTTTCTTGATTCAAATTTCTGATGGATCATGACATCACAAGTGGTTCTCTTAGTTCTTGATCTTCCCCACACCAATCCCCTCAAGTAAATTAATGGACTATAAGAATTTTTTGGCATGAGAAAAATCACTACTACATTGGTCAGTCTTATAAATTCTACTCTTTATATGAGTTTTCTTAAAGATGTACATCTGGGATGCCAAGTAACACAGACAGATTTGCAAATTACCACCTTCAAATGACATATTTTCAAAGCTTGAAATCTGGAAATCATGCAACCCCCCCTGCTCCCCCACCTGCCACGTGCTTTTATTTTTTTAATGAAGAAACTGAAACACATAGGAGGAAAGACTTGCCAGCCAGGGTGAGAACCAGGTCAGACTGGCACCCTAATGTCACACTTTTCTCACTTGTCTCTAGGGACATGCCACATGTCCCTAATTTTCCTGTTTCTTTTCTTTAAAGTTGCACACACAGAAGACTGAGACCTCCTGTATACACATACACACACACACACACACACACACAATCTCACAGTCACACAACTCATATATAATTTTCTTACCCATATGAAGAGTATCCATACCATGAAATTGGAAAGAGAGGAATCAAGTCATTAATAGAAAAGCAATGTTATAATTCCCCACCTCTCCAAATCTCTATTATTTTTAAATTATCTCCTTCTATTTATAGTCTTTGTAACTAAACAAGAACTTGGCATGTCTCTTCATGAAAGCAAATTTAAGAGTCTGTACCTGGGATGCATTATGGATCACCTAAAATTTTGCTATTCAGAGTATGTGTGGCCCTCTCCTATTCTTCCCCATTGGTGGCATTTTGCATCAGCAGAAAGCTTTTTAGAAATGTAGGTGCTCTGGCCTCACCTCAAACGTACTGATTCAAAATATATATTTTAACAAGATCTCTAAGTGAACTGTAGGCACATTAAAAGTTTGAGAAACAGTGATCTAACATTTCCCTACAGGACAAGTGATATCTAGGACAATCCAGACAGAAAAAATCGATAAAATAGAGAGACAGGTAGACTAATTCCTTCAGAACCCTCTGGTCTCTGGTCTCTGGACCAGAGACTAACAAATCAATTATTTATCTGATAAATAAGTTGATTTAAAGCACAATTCTGAAGACTGAAATTTAATTTATTCATTTATTCCACAAGTTATTTGTCCAGTGTTTATTGTATAAGTCAAAAAGTTGTGGATAAGAATCTTCCTGGCTTTATAAAATATACAGTGAAGTGGAAGGGACATTATAAAGTATAAGAGAGGTTCGAAGTGTTGAATACTGTAATGGAGATATACATGGAGGTCCAAAAGGAACTTCATTTGGGCAATTAAAAGGGTCCTGTGACCCAGGAGTCAGCAACCTGTGGCTCACTAAGCTATTCAGTTTGGGGATGGCTGTGGCTCTAATGGTCCAAATCCAGCAGAGTTTAGTCAACAGGGATAAGAAAAACCAGCTAACTCACCAAAGAGGTACTGAACATGATAGTAAGCCAGGGCTTTGACTGTCCAAGGGGTACCACTAAGTCATCATTAAATGGGATGATTTGAGATTGCTAGCACCACCTTATTTATGTCCACTGTGTGCTGCCACAGGGTTGGAGAGTAAGTACTTGAGGGCATGTGGAACACAATACTGGATGAATAGCTTAAAGTTGTTGATCCCACTATGGGCAACTAAGAGAGCAGAAAGACATGACAGTGGAACAAAAAGGAACCAAAGAGCACAATGACAAATACTATTCTTTAAAAATGATGTTAATTCTGTTGGAAGCAGTTAAAATTTTGATATATGTCATCATCATCATCATCTTAGCAGGAACAGAAATACCAAGCCAGTGGTGCCAGGGCAAGAAAGGCATGTAAATGTTAACAAAGATACCTAAAGGTGAACACACGTCCACTGTGCTTCCGTTCTCCCAAAAGCATGAGAATTTGAAAATACCGTCAACCCAGATTCTCAGTAGGCAACCAGCATGTCCATGATTTAGTCTCAAAGACTACAGACACATTAGAAAATAACTAAGGCGTGTGAAAATAATTACAATAAGTAAAAGTAAAACATGGGCAAAGATCTTCAGGCAGCATAAAAAGACATGTTAGAAGTCATGTTGTTGAGAGGGAAAAAAAGTGAATTTACGTTAAGGATATCATAAATTAATAAATACACACCAGGGCCTCCATGGTGGTGCAAGGGGTTAAGATGCAACAAATGAAGCTATCCTCAGACTCTACAGCACAAGTTCGATCCCCAGCCAGGGAGTTACCACATGGCACAGCAGATCTCTCCTGACTCGCCCACTGCTCCCCTCAGCAGTGTATTTCAGTCGATTTGCCTGTTCTGTTCCCCACTCTGTCTCTGGTAAATCCTCTCACCACCCACACCTCTGGCCTGTACCCCATTCTTGTATGCATAAATAAATCTTTTTTTTAAATAAATAAATAAATATACAACAAAAAAACAAAAAACAATACTACCTACCTTCTACAGCTAACAGGGTAAGTCTTAAAAGACAAATACACAAGTGGAAAGACAGATTACTTCTTTAAAGGGGGGAATTGGCCACGACGGAGATTTATGATTAAAGGAATTTCAATCTTAGCTAAAATTTTCTTAATTAAAAAAAAAATTGTAAAGTAAAAACATTTAATATATGTTTAAAAAAGCCAAGATATAAAACAGTGTAATATGTATAAACCCATTCGTGTTGTGTTAAAAGAACATACATTTATACATTTGCCATCTCTTTTTTTGCCCCACCCTATACATTCACATTTCTATAAAAATTACTAGAAGGAAACATATCAACATTTTTAGCACATAGTTTATAGCTTCAATTCTATAACTTTACTCAGAAATAAAAAGTAAATACAGGGCCTCCCCGGTGGCGCAGCGGTTGAGCGCTGGGTTGCGAAGCTGCCCGCGGCCTCTGTGGCGCCGGTTCGATCCCCGGCTGCTCTCTGGCCACCGGAGGAGGGTCCCACATGGCGCGCAGACCTCTCCTGCCGCCCGCTGCTCCCCTCAGCAGTGTACTTCAGTCCTTCTGCCTGCTCTGCTCCCCACTCTGGCTCTGGTGAATTCTTTCACCCTCCTGCGCTTCTGACTGTACCCAGTGCATGTATAAACAAAACAAACAAACAAATAAATAAATAAATAAAATGCCTCTATTAAAAAAAAAAAAAATCTTAAAAAAAAAAAAGTAAATACAGAAGCACAAAAATTCACTGGCCCATGTTTCTTTCTCTTTATCTGTTTTTTTTTTTTACCCCACCACCATCACTTATATTCCCTGTCCCTTTCCTTCTCCCCTCCCTTAACTTCAGAGCCCTCAGTGTTTACTGATGGCCTCTGATTTTTTTTTTAAGATTTATTTATTTATTTATACAAGTACTGGGTACAGTTAGAAGCACGGGAGGGTAAGAGAATTCACCAGAGCCAGAGCAGGGAGCAGAACAGGCAGACTGATGAAGTACACTGCTGAGGGAAGCAGCAGGTGCAGCAGGAGGGGTCTGCGGGCCATGTGGGACCCTCACTGGTGGCCGGGGATTGAACCGGCCCTGCAGAGGCTGCAGGCAGCTTCGCAGCCCAGCACTCAACTGCTGCGCCACTGGGGAGGCCCCTCTGATATTTTAAAGTGTTTTACCTGTAAAATTGTCTACTATGTAAATGTCCAGTATTTGTTTTTATCCTTGTGACTTGCTTTACTACACATAAGCCTTGCAAATCCCCCTCTATTTTGAGAAACACATCAATTGTCAACAATGGTTATTTCTGGGGAGTTGAATTGGGGAGAAGACACTTACTTTCTCTCAATAAATGCTTTTGTTTGATTTTTTATAAATGAGTATGACTTTTATAGCATATTTATAAACTTTGTTTACTTCTCTGTCTACATGGGAGAATTTTGCTCTGTAATGAGAAAAACCAAATTAACCCATTTTGTACCCCCTTCTAGTCATTCTCATTTGAACACTCCCAAGCTGGAGAAAAACAAAATGGGAAAAGACAAGGGACTACATTTACTAAAACATGTTCTAGATATATAAAATACATGACATACACAAAGGAAAGAATTATTCATGTAACATATTATATTCTAATGTATTGGTTTCATTTTTCTATTGTCATCAATTTCTATTATATGTATACAATAAATTCCCCTTTCTCAGGTTAACTATTATAGTTCTAGTACATTTTCAGTGGATACCCTGCCAAAGTAGTCTAGGTAGTAAGTGATCAAGGAGCTTGTTTTTCAGATTCTGAGGACAATACAGGGTCTTTTATGCAAAGTAATTTAGAAAAAAGATTGATATATAAACATTGAGTTGGTATAGTGTCCTTAAACTGGATTATTACTGCTTGATTTCCTCCACTTACTAAATCTACTCTTATCACCATGATTTGGGCTTTATAATACCAGCTCCATAAACAGGATGTTCTAACACTAACAAACCATGACAATGTAAAGCAAAGCGTCTGTGGCAAATCAGTTTTCATACAGGCAGAAGTGACTAGCAGAATAACCTCCTTATATTAGGCAGCATTTCACAGAAATCTGAAAGCAAGCCCATTCTAGAACAAATAAAACTTAAGTCAGGAAATCCCTCATTGGCATTTTTAAGGACCAAAATCTGGTAACACTCACTTACCCCCATGACTCTGCCACGTTGCTCAACATCCTCCCACATAAAATGAACTATGATACGACACATGTATTTCCCACTCCGGCCTTCCTGCTTCATTCGGACTAGACACATCCTAGGTGGGAAGAAGACAAAAGAGTCACTGACTGCATTTTTCATATCACATATTTCCACTGAAGGCCGGCTCATCTGATTTTAGCAGAATGCACAGAATTTAAAAAAAAAAAAAAAACACTGAAAGTGGTCTTATTTAAAAACAAAAAAATTTATTGAGGTATAACATAAATACTGTGAGGAACATAGAAAGTATATAATTAATTTTTACCTAATATATACCCCAATGCAAGCACTACCCAGATCAATTTATGAATTACTTAGAACATCACAGAAGGCTTCCTCATATAGAAGGGGCTATATTTAGTTGTTAGAAGATAAGCCAAGTCTGAATCCTTCATATTACCGATAAAGAGAGAGATCCTAAAGAGAACATAATTTACTCAACATCACAGAGTCAAGTCTATAAACATAGGTATTTTGCTGCATTGTCCAATACAGAAGGCACCAGCTACATGCACTTTAAATGCAGCTAGTTCAAACTGAGATGGTCTAATGTTTAGATTTCAAAGATTTACTTCAAGAAAAACAAATATAAGCATCTCAATTTTTCTATACTGCTTACATGTTGAAATATTTCAGATGTGCTAATAAATCCTATTAATAAAATTTTATTTTAGGGCCTCCCCGGTGGCGCAGCGGTTGAGCACTGGGTTGCGAGGCTGCCTGCGGCCTCTGCAGTGCCAGTTCGATCCCCGGCTGCTCCCCGGCCACCGGAGGAGGGCCCCACATGGCGCGCAGACCTCTCCTGCCGCCCGCTGCTCCCCTCAGCAGTGTGCTTCGGTCCTTCTGCCTGCTCTGCTCCCCGCTCTGGCTCTGGTGAATTCTCTCACCCTCCTGCGCTTCTGACTATACCCAGTGCTTGTATAAATAAATAAATAAAAATAAATCTTAAAAAAATAAAAAATAAAAATAAAATTTTATTTTACTTTTAAAAATGGAGCTACTAAAAACTATTTAAATATATGATTTGCATTAATTTCTGTTGAATAGCACCTGTCCAGAACACAGATTACAGAAAGTAGTATGATTTCATCTGCACAATTATCAAAACTGTTTCTCCATTAAATATAAACTCCATTGAAAGCAAAGATCAAGTTGCATTTGTTGTTTGTTTGCTTGCTTGCTTGTTTTTAACCACTGTTATCTCCAGGATTTTGGTGAATATTCAATATATATTTGCTGAATAAATAAATGAATGACATCTCAGAGCCAAGTTAGTGCTCTTTCCCTTATACCACATTGTTTCTAATCAGCCCAAAGGGTTCTCTGCTTAACACCTTACAAAAGAATATAACAACTGTAAGATACAGTATATATACACAATAAAATACTATTCAGTCATAAAAAAAATGAAATCATGTCATCTGCAACAACAGGGATGTAACTTCAGGAGATTGTACTAAGTGAAATAAGTCAGAAGAACAACAAATTCTCTACTTTTTGAGGTCATCTTTTTCATCATTAAATCTTCAGACGCTCCCCATTAGAAAGTTTTTTGCTTTCGATATTCAATGTGAGTAGTTCTTTCTCACTCAGTAAACCACCCATTGGTTCTTATACTAAGTCAAGCAATTAATTCTTATACTAACTCAACATAATCACTTTTCTATGATTTTAAGACAATGCTTTCATTTTTTCTCCAAGTTAAATATCTTCTAATTTTTCACCCTTTCCTCTTGTCTCTTAAAAGATAATGTTCAAAACTACTGATAGTATTCCAAGTAGAGTCTGGTCTGTGCTGAATAGAACAAGAAAGCACTTTGCACAATGAAGATATTGTATTTCCATTCCTCTATCTAATATCATATTAATTTTGGAGGCAACTCGGTCATCCTTCTGAACACATACTGTCAAGTCTGTAAGACTCTCTTACACATAGATATGCATGACTAACTTACCCTGTACCTCTACAGCTGTTCTTTTAGACCCAAATGTGGGACTGTAGATTTATCCCTGTTCAAATTTATTCCCTTAGATTCAGCTTATTTTTTAAAAAAGATTTATTTATTTATGCATACAATAGCTGGGGTACAGGCCAGAGATGCAGGGGGTGAGAGGATTCACCAGAGACAGAGTGGAGAACAGAACAGGCAGACTGAGTGAAATACACTGCTGAGGGGAGCAGCGGGCAAGACAGGAGAGGTCTGCTGCGCCATCATGGCTATTCCCTGGCCGGCCGGGAACTCGTGCTGCAGAAGCTGCGGAAAGCTTCACAGTGTGGTGATTAACCTCTTGCATCACCAGGGAAGCCCTTCAGCTTTTTTTTTTTTTTTTAGGATTTATTTATTCATGCATACAAGAACAGGGGTACATTCCAGATGCATAGGAGGGTGAGAGGATTCACCAGAGACAGAGTGGGGAACAGAACAGGCAGACTGACTGCCGAGGGGAGCAGCGGGTAAGACAGGAGAGGTCTGCCTCACCATGTGGGTATCTCCACGGCCAGCTGGGATCAAACCCGTACTGCAGAGGCTGTGGACAGCTTCATAGCACTGCGCTCAACCGCCTGGGCCACCAGGGAGGCCCAGATTCAGCTTATTGAAATAGTCTGCTGAAGTATTTTTGGTTCATGATTGGGTCATTCAGCATATTTGCCTTCCTGACCAGCTTTTTGTCATCTGCAAATACGATAACTGTTTTCTTTTTTCATTCTTAGTCTTTAACAGAGATGTTGAGGCAGGTCAGGCTGGAATCATTCCATTATACCATGCTACTGCTAGTAGATTTAGTATGCAGGATTTATAGAGTGTAGAAATAGAATTGTCAGTTTAGACCAAATATTCCATAGTTCTAGTAGGAATTGTCTTAAAGGTGAATAGTCCTATTGCAGCTGCTTAATAACTTTAATAACAAATCATAGAAATAAATATACCATGAGTGAAATCATGCAGTATTTGCCTGTTTCTAAAGGATGAATAAATGGTTGATAGGAACTCAGCTATCTGACAGAAGGTGATTCTATGATCTCTTATGTTCTTTCCAATATTGGGATTTGCTGATGCTGTGGTTCTAGATTTGTAACCTCTGAACTTAGTACCTAAGAAATAACACTTGTAACAATAAAAACAGGTCATGGAAAAAAATTTGGCTACCTTATAGGATATAGAGCATATTCCAAACAGAAACAGTCTGGGGAAAGTTCAGCAGTCCTTTTTCATAAGATTTTTCTTAATCAAATCACTCATGTCAGCCTCTCACCTGAAAAGACACTGTGTGTTTTGATGCTTAAGTGTCGTCAGAGGCCAATTCATCAACTGCAATAGTGAGGTAATGGAATTCTTCATTTATTTGAAAATTCTGTAGTTTGTTAATACATCTGCCCTCTGAGGTTTTAAAGGCACAGATTTTCTCAGACCATAAACTTACTAACTGTATCAACATGGGGTGAAGTGTTTTTTGTCTCACAGCACGGTTTATCCTATAACCATTACAGATAACAGTCAGTCAAATGGTTTTCTGATTTGAAAAGATAAAACAAAGATATGTTCAATTAACATTTAATTCACTCAATGAATATACACTGAGTTCCTACTGTGTGAGGTATATGGTTGAGTGCTGTGGGGATTAGATTGACAGCTAAAAAGAGCCCAGCTTCCAAGGAGCAGTTATTCTTATAGGGAAGATAAAATAGGACATACAGAAATAGCTAAAAGATAGGCAAGTGACTCAGGAGAACCACAAAGTGCAATGGAGTTTCAGAAAATTACTTTTGGCTCAGTGGGATCAGAGAAATTTCATGGAAAATGAAACTTGGTACCTGGGGCTTGGAAAGATGAGCTGAAGTTTGGCAGATAGAGACAAAAGACAAAAAGAATTTCCACCAGATGGAACACTATGAGCAATAGCAGGACCACAGAGAAGCTCAGCAATGTAAAGGAATGATAAATACCTAGATTTTGTGGTAGGGTAGGTATAGGAAACAGAAGACCAGAAAGGTCATGAGGACCTATGAAATACCATGCTAAAAAGTCTGAACTTTTTTCAGTAGACAGTGGAGAGCCATGTTTTCTAAAGAGAGTAATAAGATCAGCATCTTTGCACTGAGAGGAGATGAGTCCCTGAGAAGTTAACCCTTTCTTCTCAGATTCAACACTATAATTAAATGATAATATTATCACCAGGGTTGGAAAATGACAAATTTAGTGAACATTTACTTTGTAGAACTATGATATTCAGAATAGTCTGAAATATAAACTAAAGTGTGCACCTGCCTTTTGAGAGATATGCAACCAGAAGAGTTTGTTTTAATCTGCACCTAATTTTATTGATTTTCTAAGCTTAGAAAATAAGGATTTAAACCTACTAAATGAAAGGAGGGCAAATTCTAATTACTCCAAAAACCTTGTACCTTGTTAATTCACAATGAATTGCTGCAAAATGCTTTCATAAAGCTGTATAGTAAATTTCATCACATATATCTAAAGTTATATAATCAAAACAAAGAATCAGCATTTTCATCAACAGGAAGTGTACTGGAAATTCCCAAGAGTTCTACTGGGAAAATAAAATTCTGATCCACAGGGCTATTCAATCACCAGCACCATATTCAACTAACTAAAAATTCAACTAATTTTTGCCATGAGATTGTGAATTGAATTCTTTAGGAATGAATGACAGAAAAGTAGTCATGTTGTAAAGAACCTTTATATTTGCCCTCTATAAAGAAAAAGCAGAGCTTAAGGCTAGGGCCCACATCTTAGACAGTTAGCTGCCTAAAATATCCAGAGCAGAAATTGAAGGTCAACTCTTAGGCCATTTGACTGAGGCCTACACAGTCAATCTACTCCTTTGTTTAATAACTGTTATGACTAGGTAACACATAAATTGTAATAAAAAATGAAGCCTTCTTTCTAATGGTATCCCGCCATCACCCAGTCCTCCTTCTAAGACAATTAGCAGTTTCTTAGGAATCCTTCCACATATAATCTTTTTTAAAAAAGAGGGCCTCCCTGGTAGTGCAGCAGTTGAGCGCTGGGTTGCGAAGCTGCCCACAGCCTC